TGTGTGTGTGTGTGTGTGTGTGTGGGTGGGTGGGTGTTCCTATAGGTGTACTTATACATTTCTAGTGGAAAATGTGTTGTAGAGGATTTTTTTTCAAAACGTGATGTTTTTATATTCTGCAGGGAGGAAAGAGGAAGTCTTCGTCGAGGGGACGATTAGACTTTGAGGCCTTCCTGTCTAATGGCAGAACCGAGGCCTGGTGGAGGATGCTGGGAGCAGGGCTGATAATGTGCCTGGGAGATCTGGTTCTGTTTCAAAGGTCAGCGTCATTACAGAGCAGCAGATAAACGTGAGGTCAAAGGTAAGCCAGGGAGGATACTGGTGGGAGTGTGTGAGTAGTCTTGTAGTCTTGTGTGTGAGACTGAGAGGGGCCTTGTTTTGATATAATATTTGGCCAGTGTTTGTTTCTGGCGTCTTTTATTTTATTATTGTGGGTGCTTTACGTCATAGAACATTAAAACTTTTTGGGCGGCACTGCACGACCGTGCTCTATGGACGAACCGCGCCTGGTCCCGGGTTCGAATCCGAGTAACGACCGTAAAATTTTCTTCTCTAAAATTGTCTCCTTTCACATCCTTCCCTGCTCTCTAGCAATGTGCTGTCGTCTGCGTTCGTCTCCACTTTTTGCCCCTAACCCCCTCAACTCCTTTGCCTCCTTCTCTAGGCTCCTGACTTTTTCTGCAGTCTTTCTACTGCTACTCCTTGGCTCCTTCTCACTGATGTCTTTCAGCCACACCCCTGATCTTCGGGTAGGAAAGATCTCGGAAAAGGGTGAAAAATCTCTCAGGTCCCGTGTGCAAGTTGCGCACGTTAAAGATTCCTTGGTGATCTAAAATTGATAAGATAAATTGCCACCCGGGCAAAATTCAAAATTTCCTACCAACTGAAAATGTTTGGTGTGTCCCGTGCGCTCGTATGACCTTATGCTGTTGCGAACGCCGTAAAACACCTAAAAAAAAACACATAAAACAAACCCCAATATATTTTCTTTCTTTTTAGAGTACATTCTAGCAATTATATTTTAAATAGTTTTAAACTTGGAGTATTAGTATAGGAGGAAAATAACTTAGCGGTAGGCTGTTCTGTTAAATCTTGATGGAATTGAGAAAAATGCTAAATTTCTTAGAAATGTATATATTATATAATGTAATTTGTTTTTGTTTTTGTAAAATGTTTTACGACGCTCGCAACTGCATAAGGTCATATGAGAGCGCGGGACACACCTAATATTTTCAGTTGGTAGGAAATTTTGAATTTTGCCCGTTTGGCGGCCGAGGCCTACTCTTATCGATTTTAGACCACCAAGGGATCTTTAACGTGCGCAACTTGCACACGGGCCCTCCGAGATTTTTCGCCCTTG